TAAAGCCAATTTCTCTAAGATTATTTTAATTTCCTTTCCTCTGCTTCATCTGTATTCTTATTTCCTATTTCCTACTACTAGAAATTCTAGCTTCATGTACATTTTGTTTCACAGGCCTACAGTTACTACTCTTTTATTTATGATGAATTACACAAATAATTTGGATTAAGTGATCATCCCCTTGCCACTTGTGCCTACTTCTCAAAATATACTCTAGCCACGTGTGTGAGAGGAGAGATTACCAGTGTATGTGATTAGCTATTTAAAATGTGGATCTAGTTTCGTTTACTAATTATACCATGAGTGACATTCAGCAGCTGAACTTGTCCGGTAGTAATTAATATATATATATTTTTTTTGCACGTGTGAGTGAATATACTTTCATCCATTCAATAGGTCATTTATCACTTGGATCCACAGTTGTCACTAACATGAAGGCACCTTACTGCTCAGGTAGATCTATAATTATGTGCTTGAATAATGAGATACCTTGCTGCTCCTGGGTGGATCTATAATTAGTGAGGCAAGTGTCCCCACAGACCATAAATTGGGCTGCATGTGCTACACCGGGACATCACACATACCACAAGCTACTGGTCTTGTCACCTGCCTGGAAATCATTCTTGGCAGTGCACGACCTGGGGTAGAAGAAAGGGGTATGGAATGGGTGGGGCTGAACCCTATGATGATAAGGACCCAGGATGGAGTAGAACACAGGGAGAGAACAAGATTCCTGGGTAAAACAAAATTCAAATTGGGGGTACGACTGAGTAGGACAGGGTAAGAAAAGTTTTTGTTCAGATTTCTAACCCAGAGGGTCAACCAACAAGGATAATCCAACTCAATGCATCATCAGGGACTGTCTTATTTCCATTAGGGTCCTATTAATCTTGTACCCTACAGTGCAACCCACAAGAGTTGGCTAACACTCAGGTACCTCCTTACAGCTAGGTGAACATGAGCAGCAGGTGTAAGGAAACATCCCCAACATTTTACCCATGCTGGTGTTTGATCCCAGTTCCTCAGTGTGAGCTGAGGACTCGACCAACCAAGCCACAAGTACCTCTGCCATCAGAGTGAGGGTAATACCCCATGTTGGGGCAGGACCTATTGCTCTGTTTAACAAACCAACACTGGATGACACTTATAATCTACTAGTGCACTGGGGCAGAGAAACTATGCAATGTGATCCTTGGAAAACTTGAACCAAGGTGCAATCCTCTCCTGGTTACCAATGAAAGTTCTTGCTATCATCTGCTGCCAAGAAAACCATTTCATTGGCATTGAACATTTGATGGGGGTTATAACTGAAGTCCTCAGTAAGCTTGGTAAACTCAAGAGGATGGCTTTCATCAATGATATGGTTGGCAGGTGAACTCTACCCAGTGTGCTATATTATAAATCATTCTAAACTTAAACTCCTTTAAAGGAAAACTTCCTTTCTTACTAAGTCTCATAGTATCAATGCACTGTCTTCCTGACATAAGCAGTACCACTGTACTGCCTTTCAGAGCTTTTTGCTCAATCCAGACACTTTACTTGATAACCTTTGTTTTACTCACACTCATCTTTTTGATTACTTCAAAATCACCAACAGTATATACATGGCTTGCACAATTTTTCAACTGTTCCTAATTGTAAAACTTACTGATTTCTTCACTGAACGTTAAGACAGTGTTAATCTGTTTACAGCTTAACCACGGTATTCCCACTTCCAGTAACGATGTCATACTTCTTAGTCATCATGGTTAATAAATATCATTAGGAAAGTTTATAATACTGTATGAGACATGTACTATCCTGCTCTGTACACTGAAGATATTTCTTGACAAATTTTTTGATACACAGTACTGGTCGCCGTTGCCCATCTGTGAGAGTAGCAACTCTCATTGCTGAGGTCCAGGTAATAAACCCTGGACATTAACATAACATTTTGATACACAAGAACATCACCCATAAAATTTAATACTATCTGAAAGGAATCAGTGGACATTCAAGTAAATCTACACTGCATTTCCCAAACAGCCCCCAAGGTATTTCCCAAACAGCCCCCAGATATTTTCCAAATGGTCCACAGTTTTTCCAAACAGCCCCCAAGTTTTTCCTAAAACCCCAAGTATTTTCCAGATAGTCCCCAGGTATTTTTCAAACAGTCCCAGGTATTTTTCAAATAGTCCCCAGGTATTTTTCAAATACGTAGTCCCCAGGTATTTTCCAATCAGAACCCCAGGCATTTTCCAAACAGTCCCTGGGTATGTTATTTTCCAAACAGCCTCCAGAAACTTCCCAAACAGCCCATGGGTATGTTATTTTCCAAACAGCCTCCAGGAATTTCCCAAACACTCCAAGTTTTCCAAAATCCCCACATATTTCATAATATTTAAAAATAAGTTGAAAAAATACAAGAGTAAGCATTCTTCAGCACTTCTTAATGCAGCATGATATAATCTAATGGTGATGTCACTGCTAGGTCACTGTTGCTACCCAACAGTGACATCACTATTAAATGACACCAAGATGCACCAGGGAACACTGCTGGACACCTACCAGCATCACTCATGTTTGTCTAATGTATTTTAACAATTACCAAATGTTACTTGTAATGTTTTACCTTTGCTATGTATATTGCTTGCTCTATTTTCTAACTGAAAAGTCACCTATGGCAAAACATTGCCTTAATGTCCTGATCAGTGCCTCAGTATTTTTTCCTTACAACTTCGTATCACCATACAAGTTCCTTCTTTCCTAAGTGTATTAACAATAGGGTAAAAAATCACAACTCTTTAATAAAGAAATTATTTATAGTACATCTAAGCATTAATTGATTCACTAAATAAATAAGCAATGACACACAAAGAGGTTGGGACCTGAATACACAAATAGTTTTTTAATAATCAAATACAGAGCAACCATATAAGAAAGTATACTGCACCTGCATTTGTCAGCAATAATACAATTACAGTGGACCCCCAACGTACAATATCCCCAATCTACGTTAAAACCATCCTACGATGCTTTTCAGCATAAAAATTTGACCCCAACATACGTTGAGAAACTAGACCTACAGCATTCGTCCAGTACGCGTCCACATATCTGTCCGCCTGAGCGCGCCTCAGCTGGCCTGCCTTCAGTTAGTGTGCCAATGTTTACAAGCCAGAGCGGTCGCTCCCAAGCATACATTCAGAATATTTTGTATTATTCCAGTGTTTTTAGTGCTTCTATCTGCTAAATAAGCCACCATGAGCCCAAAGAAAGCTTCTAGTGCCAACCCTGTGGCAAAAAGGGGTGAGAAATATTATCGAAATACTATCGTACCATGGTCAGCTGCTGCTGCTGCTGTACCACCGTCAGCTGCTGCTGTACCACCATTATTGGTGTGGCTTATCGAGAATACCGAGAAACAATTAACCCCAGAGGGTTAGCCACCCAGGATAACCCAAAAAAGTCAGCTTGTCATCGAGGACTGTCTAACTTATTTCCATTGAGGTCCTTAATCTTATCTCCCAGGATGTGACCCACACCAGTCAACTAACACCCAGGTGAACAGGAAAAAATGCCTGAAACTAGTGCTCATATTGGTGAATTTAAGGCTAGCAAAGGTTGCTTTGAAAGATTTAAGAATCGTAGTGGCATACACAGTGTGATAAGGCCTGTTCTGGAAGAAAATGCCAAACAGGACCTACATTACTCAGGAGGAAAAGGCACTCCCAGGCCATAGTGTCTCATCAGTCATTGCTGCATCTTCAATAAAGGTAAGTGTCATTTATTCTTCATTTAGTAGAGTAGAAAATGTATATTTCATATGGTAAAAATTTTTTTTTCATACTTTTGGGTGTCTTGCACGGATTAATTTGATCTCCATTATTTCTTATGGGGAAAATTAATTCAACCTACGATCATTTTGTCTTACGATGGGCTCTCAGGAATGAATTAATATCGTAGGTCAGAGAACCACTGTACTAGTACGTACATATAAGTAACAGATGGCATACAATTGTTTACCTACACTACTTGTGAAAGATCTTATGTGCAATCACTATCAAGACAAGGTAAAAATAGGAAAGACCAGATCTTCTCAACCATCACAATTACTATCAACTTTGAGTCTTATTCCTGCATCCTGACCTGTGGCCAGTCTTTCCTGTTGCTTGCCTGGTGAACCAGGCTCAAAATCTCACTGCAGTACACTATTATGGTAGTATACAGTTGGAATTAGGCCCCTATCTTCCATATATTATAATGTGCATCTCCTCTGCTCCAAAGAATGCATATTCAGTACTTTGAGGCATTCCCAGTGGTTTAGGTTTTAGTAACTATGCATGAAGTAAACATTCTGTTCCAGCTCTGATCTCTCCTGTGTTGGTGAATGCTTCCTTCCTAGGTCACCCTACGGTGGTAGGAAACAGTTTATGTGATCAAGAAAATTGTAATGGTTTCTCCTTTCATTCCTCATGTATATTATTTAGTTTCCAGATTAATCTTTCATGGGGCACTCCAACTAAAATTTTTCAAAAAGAGTACAAATAATGTACAGCTAATTCAATCTTCCCATCCATTGCTTTTCCCATTTTTCCCATCTCACTGTATTCTTAATGGCCACCTCATATCATTTCGTCTTTTTGTCCTCTCTTTGCAATACAGTAAATTGTTTTCCCTTGAACTCCTTCACACATATTCATTACTCTACAATATTCCACTCATTTCACCATTTTTAAGCAATTAGTATAATGATTTAATTATGCTTCTGAGCTTTGCTGAATGCATTAGGTACTGTAACTAAATATCCAACATCTCTTATGAACATCTCAAAGAAATATTAAGACAGATTTTTAAATATCATATAACTTATAAGGATGATTTACTAAAATTAAAATGTTTGTACCTCAGGTGTACACAGACAAACTTTAATCATACAGAAGGAATGATGTACAGAAATTTTATTTGTGATTCAGGCCCCAGGCTCTCCAATGGCCTAAGTCATAAACGAGCAGAACACTCACCATGCTGAAGGGCATACACGCACAAGCTCGGCCATGAAAGGGGCGACACAAAGGCTGAGGATGGAAAATAGGACTGCACTTAAATTCTGCCAAGCGTTCTCCAAGTCTCTGAAGAAAAGATAACAGAAGATTAAAAAATTATTACATACAACACAAGTAATCATGTATGAGATATGGATATGCTGCATGAAAACTGATACATGATTGGGATCTCAATGCAAGTGTTAATATTAGGACTTAACTACTTAAGATTAAATTCAATGACTTGCCAGAATACAGTACACAAAATAAGACTTTAATGTTCCTATGAGGATTTGTAGGATGCCTACAAGTGGATAAAAATTGTGTCCCTATCAACTGTGTGAATATTAACTTGCGATTTCCTATACATATTATTTTTATTCTTATTTCATGGGGGAAATGCTAAACCCATAATGGTCATAAAGCAACTATGTTTGATCCAAGAGGAGAGCTCCAATTCCCTAGATCAAGAGCCTTTTGCCAGCCTCTGGACACTCACCTTGTAGGAGCGAGTGCCTACATCATTTTGCAATCACAAGAGCAAAGCTTTGCTCAAGGTGTCCCATCATCAGTGTTTAGTTTATCACATAATTATAGTTTCCCTTTGTTGTAGAACATAATACTACATTGTGTCTCCTCTTGGCTCCCTGTTCATCAGTTTACCACTGTTTGTATAGGAATTTTTTGAAACAGCACACTTCTGGCAAGACAGTGAATGAATGAATGAAGATGATATATTTACTCTTTTTTTTCAGGGTCACCCTACCTCAGTGGGAGACAGCTGCTTTGTTCTCAATGGATTCACCTGTACTCGTACACATTTACAGTACATGTGTCTGACTGATAAGGGTGTTTGTTAAGACTAGAAAATGCAATTAGAAGATAGTGGCTAAAATACCTGGAGATACAAACATCAAACAGCAGTTTCAAATGAAAGGGAATTCTAGGGAAAACTATAGACAAAAAGATTGTCACCGTAAGATTACATAAAATAAATTTTGAGAAATTATTCATAACATCCTAGGTAGTAGGTTGGTAGACAGCAACCGCCCAGGGAGGTACTACCATCCTGCCAAGTGAGTGTAAAACGAAAGCCTATAATTGTTTTACGTGATGGTAGGATTGCTGGTGTCCTTTTTTCTGTCTCGTGAACATGCAAGATTTCAGGTATGTCTTGCTATTTCTACCTACACTCATGTCACACTACACATACATGTACAAGCATATATATACACACCCCTCTGGGTTTTCTTCTATTTTCTTTCTAGTTCTTATTCTTGTTTATTTCCTCTTATCTCCATGGGGAAGTGAAACAGAATTCTTCCTCCGTAAGCCATACGTGTTGTAAGAGGCGACTAAAATGCCGGGAGCAAGGGGCTAGTAACCTCTTCTCCTGTATATATTACTAAATGTAAAAGGAGCAAGCGTGCGTGAGCGTGTTAGACAGGAGTGAATGGAGACGAATGGTACTTGGGACCTGACGATCTGTTGGAGTGTGAGCAGGGTAATATTTAGTGAAGGGATTCTGGGAAACCGGTTATTTTCATATAGTCGGACTTGAGTCCTGGAAATGGGAAGTACAATGCCTGCACTTTAAAGGAGGGGTTTGGGATATTGGCAGTTTGGAGGGATATGTTGTGTATCTTTATATGTGTATGCTTCTAGACTGTTGTATTCTGAGCACCTCTGCAAAAACAGTGATAATGTGTGAGTGTGGTGAAAGTGTTGAATGATGATGAAAGTATTTTCTTTTTGGGGATTTTCTTTCTTTTTTGGGTCACCCTGCCTCGGTGGGAGACGGCCGACTTGTTGAAAAAAAAAAAAAAAAAAAAAAAAAAAAAAAAAAAAAAAAAAAAAAAAAAAAAAAAAAAAAAGAAAACTTTCGTTTTTCATTTTGGGCCACCCCACCTCGGTGGGATACAGCCGGTGTGTTGAAAGAAAGAATCATAACATACATTAGACAAAAGTTTTAATTTGCAGCAGTTTTTTTAAGATTAGAAAAAATACAAAGATGAACTACAAAATGAATGCTGGAGCTAAATAAGGAATATGAGTCACAAAAAAACAGACCTCAGTGACTATTAAGGAGGAACAGTGAAGGAATGATGACCAAGTACAAGATTATAGAAGGATACAAGCATATAGATAAAGATGGCTTATCACCATAAACAGAAAGCTCAAGCAAAATGCAGCTAAGAGTATCATACACATGAATATTAATTCAGCACAGAAATACAGCATTGTACTATAAAATTAGCTTTAAAAAAGTTATTTATATCATTTACAAAACTGTATAAACCGAGTAGGGTGTACTAGTGTACTATTAGAGCACACTTACAATTTGATGAAGAGCACTTGCAGCCTGGTCCCATGTCCTTCTTGTGTACTTTGTTGGTCTTGGTGCTGAAACATATCGTGAAGTGGCTGACATTTGACTCTGGCTTCTCCCCCAGCTATTATAAGATTTGACCCGGTTTCTTGTACCTCCTCTTTTTGTCCCATGACCATTCCCATAATTCCGCCTGGAGGAATTAACGCCATCATCTGCAATCATGCCATTATGATTTCTTGAGTCTCGGCACAAAAGTTTTCATAATCAAAACATTTTTGTCATTACAGTATCTGCTTGGCCAATGCCAGTTCTAATCACTTCTATTTGTAGAATGAGTTATACTGTATATCATACACATAAAAGGGCTTATTTTATTTCTTACCTTAATTTAATTTAGCTTCAATACTAGCAATGTGGAGATTAGCTAATATTACTGAATATTACTGTACTTGGTTTTAAAAATAAATTAACACTACTATTAACCTACTATATAATGTTTGGGAATAATGCTTAAACTATTCAGTGAAACATAAAGATAAATAATACACACGTCGACAGACAAGAGGAAATATTTCTGGGTATTCATATTGACAGAAAACTCAAATTTAACAGTTTCCACAACAGTGGGCAATCGCACACACATGCACGTATGGGGCAGGATTTCTTTTGATCCCTTGCACACTCACAGCACAGACTACTCCTCCTATGTCTAGGCCAAAATTTACAGCTCACAGCTTATCTACGTAAGCTGAGCTCAAAACACAGCTTTACAAGAGCAATGCTGGCATCAGTTAACATAGATCAACATGAGAATTGGTGAAAGGGTTAAAATTAAATGTCGCATCCTGTTATGTGTTGTTGATATCAGATCATACTGATTACAAAGCTTCAAAAAGTATATTGATTGCACTCTCAATAATGCTGAAAATACATGTACTTTTCTACAGTTACCAGCTATTGTACATGTGTGAAGCATTAGTATCCGTATTGTGTATATTCTCCTGCATAATTACTATCTCCACAATAAATATAAATAAGCTCACTGTGATCAATGTAGCCATTGCCTGCACGAGTTTGAGCATTTTGGGGACCATAGTATCTGGATGGAGTGCTGGTCCAGGGATCACCTACTTTCTGCAACTTGGGTAAAACATCCACCATCGCTGCACATTATCTGCAAAATAATTAACATTAGAGGACCATAACACTTTCACAAATTTGTAAAATTTCTCTCAGTAAATTTGTACTCTTAGAATCCTAAGGCTTAATTCTTGCATTTCAAAGATACTTTTAGTGCATTTTGCCACAATGGCCATCTTCTACCAGTGTAGGGTGGCCCCAAGAAAAGAAAACATTTACCATCATTCATTCAATAGGTGTCTTATCAGAAATGCAGACATCACACTGCAAAATGACCCTTTGAATTGCAACATCCCTACCCTTCCTTCAGAGTACAGGCACTACTTCTCACTTCCAGGACTAAATCTAGTTACCCACTTACCATCAACTATTCTCTACTCTTAAAAACATTAACAATACAAAGCAATATAAAAGAATAGTCCAGATTACTGTTGTATCTAGAATATATTAAAACAAGAAATCCCTGTTCTGTAGCTTCATTCATCTGATGACTGATGACATTAGACTATTATTATTATTATATTTACAATTTTATAATTTCTGAGTGCCTGTTCTTTCAGGATCAGTCCTAGGAAGGAAGGCAGATCCAATTTCTTGACTCAATAGTCCCTCACCAGTATTAATAAGCTTTCATTTAGGGGTACAGTTTTTGTAGCTCATTCCTGCCTTACATGTTTTTTTGGACCCACGTCCAGGTTGAACCTCAATATCTAAAGATAAAGATGTTTATTTTAACAAATTACATGGTTGTACAGAGGAATATAATAGTCGGGTGTACATGCCAAAAGCCCCTTTGCATGCAGAGCATTTTGGGCACACTTAGGGATTAACTTAAGATTAGTAAGGCAATAATACATAGTTCATATGGTCATTTGATGAGTTACAGTGAGTACAGTAGAACTGTATATTCTATTAGGTAATGCTAGATGGTTTTGATAAGTCTAGTAGAGACTTACTACACTATTGAATTAGTTAATAAAGATTACAGTACTACAATGCAACAATTTAAAACAATTTACAATATGATGTATTACAGTTTAGTACCATTTAAAACAATGAAATTTGGTATTACAATGGAACAATTTACATTATGATGTACTGTATTACAATCTACTACTATTTAAAACAATGGAAAAATAGACATCCTAATTTCATAGTAGTAAGTGGTTGAGCATTCATCAGCACAATATGAGTAACTTTCGAGAAACTGGTAGTGATTAGGTATGGTTTGGTTAATTTTAGGTGATGAGGTGATTTCTTATTAGGGCCTTAAACTGATTTGCAGACATTGGTCCTTTAGTGTATCCTGGCAATGAATTCCAGATCTTCGAGCCTTTTATGTGCATAGAATTTTTCCATAGGGAGAGATGAACATGAGGGATATCAAAGAGTGATCTGTGTCTTGCATTATGGTTGTGTGTTCTGTTATAGTTATCAAGGAGTAGTTTGAGAGGAGGGCTTACATAAGAATACAGTGTTTTGTGTATGTAGTAGGAACAATAATAAGTGTGGATGTTTTGAATATTTAGCAAGTTAAGGCTCTTGAAAAGAGGTGGAGTGTGTTGTCTAATGCAGGAGTTAGTAATCAATCGCACTGCAGCTTTTTGCTGGGTTATTAAAGGTTTAAGGTGATTTGCTGTGGTTGAGCCCCATGCACAAATACCATAGGTGAAGTAAGGGTAAATGAGAGAGTGGTACACAGCTAGAAGAGCTGACTGGGGTACATAGTACCGTATCTTTGAAAGGATGCCTACCGTTTTGGAGACTTTCTTGGAAATTTGCTGTATGTGTGTCTGAAATTTGAGACTGCAGTCAAGGTGGAGACCTAGGAATTTGCCCTCTACCTGCCTCAAAACAGGTGAACCTTTATCAATATGTTTAGCTGTACATTTGAAGATCTGTTTCCAAAAAGCATGAAGTAGGTTTTGTCTACACTGAGAGTAAGGTTGTTGGTAATCATTCAAATAGATATTTTTAGCAGTTCAGCATTTACTGTGTCTGTTAGTATGGTTGGGTTTGGGTGAGAAATTACATAAGTTGTGTCATCTGCAAATAAAATGGGTTTAAGGAGATTAGATGCATTTGGTAGGTCATTGATGTAAATGAGAAAGAGAAGTGGGCCAAGAACATTCCCCTGTGGGACTTCAACAAGAACAGGTTGTGTAGTGGAGCTGGCTCCATTTGTGTATACATACTGGGTTCTATTGTTAAGATAAGATTTTAGGTAACAGTGTGTGTCCTCTGACCCCGTAATGTTAGAGTTTTTGGTGCAAAAGGTCATGGTCAACTGTATCAAAAGCTTTTCGTAAGTCTATGAAAAGTCCCAGGGGAATTCATTTTTCTCGAGTGCAGAATACATTAATTTAAGCATATGTATAATAGCATCATTAGTACTTTTTTCAGTCTGAACCTAAACTGACAAGGGTTGAGTATGTTGTGGGATACGAAGTAAGAAAAGACTTGTTTGTGAATTAATTTTTCGAAAATTTTAGATAGTAGGGGCAGGTTTGATATAGGCCTATAATTGTTCAGTTCAGTTGGATCACCTCCTTTGAGGATCGGGGTGACTCTTGCTCTCTTAAGTACGGATGGGAAGGTGGAAGATTCAATGGATTTGTTAGAGTTGCAATAATTGGTGACAACACATGAGAAGCTTTTTTATACATGAGTGGTGGTAAGTTATTTAGGTCTCCTGTCTTGTTCTTAAGTGCAGGTTTTTAACACAAGTGCTCAATAAAAACGAAAGAACTGCATACAACAAAGAGCTACAATACTTTACAGGCTTCAGCAGTGTAGTAATCATATTTGTTCCACTATACGACGATGTGAAGTGACATTCATCCGGGTACATTAATACTTATGGGTCTTCCCACCCAAAATGGTATGATATGAAATACATTAACAAACAAACGTTGTATGCTAACGTTTTCGTATATAGTGATTTCATCTGCCGCCAGACCCGGCAAGAACCAGACAAGAAATCATGTTTGGCACCTTATCTTCCATTAACAGTTACATTTGTGTTGATACATAATGATCTGAAAGTTAACAAAATGCAAGTAACAATATGCTTTAAATTACTTACTTGTAAGAATAACAATATAGGGAATAACAATGACTCCAGCCACGAGCCTCCACCCTTACATTGACCTTATTATTCTTCTTGTTGGGTTTGAAAAGGCCACTGACAGCTTACAGAGTATCGAACCCTGATTGAGCTCCCCGGTGTTGGGGGAAAATATATAGCAATTAAAGGGTACAAAAGTTTCCTTTGCAAATATAACCAGAAATTAGAAGTTCCCAAGTAGGCCAGTTGGATTCCTGGTGCCAAGCTCCAGCAGAGCGGGACACCCACACCTCAGCCTGAATCTAGTAACAGGATCCCCATCAAAACCGTTAATGAAATATCCCAAGAGCGGAAAAATGGAGGTGATGAATGGTGGTCCTGTAAAGTGTTCAGCAGGTAGAATAAGATGATAAGCGTCCCAAAGAGAACGAGAGGAATTTGTCACCGATCTGAGGCGAGAGTAAGACACACACACCACCACCAAAGCTGGAACAGAGGTCCTTAATGTTTAACGTTTTCTTTTTCTTAACAGCTGCTGGTACTTTGCGTTCATTTATTTATTTATTTATTTGCAAATCGTCTTTCTGTGTCGTATATTTAATGAACAGGAAGCACAAAAATCTATAAACTGTCTCAACTATGTCAAAAATTAAGCGCCTGCGTAAATATACAGAAAATGATGAGCTAACGTGGAATGTGAGTTCAATAATTTTAAGTTTATTTAGGTACAGGTACACATAAGTACAATTATCATACGTAGTAACATATATGTAAGTTACCTAGGATAACTAAAAAAAAAGACAGACAAAGTGACTTATTTCCATTGGGGTGCTTGGGTAAACCTTATAATAATAATATAATATAATATATAATTAGTATTGATGAAACATTCGCAATAAAATGAAATAAAAATGCTGGTTATTTCTACATTTGGTCTTCGTATATATCAAATAACTGGTATATCATTATTTTCTTAGTAAAATGCAATAAACCGAACAATGTGTCTTATTAATATACTTGTTGATATATTCTGCCAGTCAAATACCCAGCTGGATAATTATGGAAATCTAGGTCTTGTGCGAGTTTTCGATAGCTTATAATAATAATAATAATAATAATAATAATAATAATAATAATAATAATAATAATAATAATAATAATAATAATAATAATAATAATAATAATAATATAGTCCTAAAAATGTCCGATACTATTTTTTTTTTTTTGCCACGAACATTGTTGTATGTTTGGGAAATGAAGGAAACACAACCTAACCGAACGAAATCCAGCCTAAAATGACCTAACGTAACGACCTTACTCCGCCAGCGATAGACACTGGACCGGCTTTCCTTGACATTCAATTCGTCTATTTACGTTATCTTTGATTGGCCAGGAGTGTCAATCTTAATTAAGGATTAAGGATTTTATTTCTTTGCATAGTTTACAATGTATATTCACAATATTAATTTGCTAAGTACAAAGAAAGCCACTATCATGCCAGGGCATTTTGGGCAAACTAAACTTAATGTTTAACAAACTACTTAATACATAATCGTTGATTAATATTGACGTGCTGCACGTCTTAAAATATATCTACTATTTTTGCTAATATTTCCCAAATTAGCAATATACACAAGCAGTAACAGGGTGTGCTGGGGTATCCTGGAGTATACATGGCATGTTTGTATTAAACAAAATAATGCGTGATTTCTCAAATGGACTGGATTTCAACATGAGCCAATTATTGCCCGAAATATTCTGCGTGTGGTTAATGGTTGGTTAATGAGGTTTAAAGCCTGTCGAAGCTCCTTAAAGGAGGTTCATTGACGCTGGTGAGGGGCTCTTGATCTAGGGAATTGGATCTGTGCTCCAGTTCTCTGAATTAAGCCTGGATACCTTCCATCATACCCCTCTAGAGGGGCTGTATAACCCTACGGGTTTAGCGCTCCCACATGATTATAATAATAATAATAATAATAATAATAATAATAATAATAAATAATAATAATAATAATAATAATGTCGACTACACAAAGGTCATTAAGGCCTCATGTAACCTTTTCACCACCAGACAAGAATACTTTAGCAAGTAAGCTGATTTAGGCGCAGGTACACATAAGTACAATTATCATACGTATTGAAATTACCTACGATAACCCCAAAATGTCAGACAAAGTAACTTATTTTCATTGGGATCCAGGTTAAGTTAGGTAAGGTTTGTCAGGAAACAGGACAAGTGTTTCCTGACGCAGGTCTTAGTCATATAATGACCCGTAGCTGGAGCTTTTGGTCATCTGAACAAGGCTTTCTGCTACTGGGTCGAAGCTCTCAGCTCTCATTATGTATACACCAAGACACACCTCTCTGTGCATACCTGGAGAGAGTTCGGGGAACAACGCCTCCGCGGTCCGGTCTGTGACCAAGCCTCATGGTGGATCAGGGCCTGATCAACCAGGCTGTTCCTGCTGGCCGCACGTAATCCAATGTACGAACCACAGCCCGGCTGGTCAGGTACTGACTTCAGGGGCCTGTCCAGTGCCAGCTTGAAGACAGCCAGGGGTCTATTGATAATCCCCCTTATGTATGCTGGGAGGCAGTTGAACAGTCTTGTTCCCCTGACACTTATTGTGTTCTTTCTCATCGTGCTAGTGGCACCCCTGCTTTTCATTGGGGCGATGTTGCACCGTCTGCCGAGTCTATTGCTTTCATAGGGAGTGATTTTCGTGTGTAAGTTTGGTACTAGTCCCTCTAGGATTTTCCAGGTGTATATAATCATGTATCTCTCGCTCTTGCATTCTAGGGAGTACAGGTTTAGGAACTTCAAGCGTTCCCAGTAATTGAGGTGGTTTATCACAGTTATGCGTGCCGTGAAGGTTCTCTTTACATTTTCTAGATCAGCAATTTCACCTGCCTTTAAATCTGCTGTTAGTGTGCAGCAATATTCCAGCCTAGATAGAACAAGCGACCTGAAGTGTCATCATGGGTTTGGCATTCCTGGTTTTGAAGGTTCTCATTATCCATCCTGTCATTTTTCTAGCAGATGCGATTGATACAATGTTATGGCCCTTGAAGGTGAGATTCTCTGACATGATCACTCCCAGGTCTTTGACATTAGTTTTTCGCTCTATTGTGTGGTTGGAACTTGTTTTATACTCCGATACAGTTTTAAATTCCTCATGTTTTACATATCGGAGTAATTGAAATTTCTCATCATTGAACTTCATATTGTTTTCTGCAGCCCATTTAAAGATTTGGTTGATGTCCGCCTGGAATCCTGCAGTGTCTTCAGTGGAGGACACTGTCATGCAAATTCGGGTGTCATCTGCAAAGGAAGACACAGCGCTGTGGCTTATATCCCTGTCTATGTCCGATATAAGGATGGCTTTAACAACTTTATAGTACCCACAGTCAGTGGCCAGGCTTCAAACACCTTTTATTGTACAGCAACAAGATGGGGGCTAGTACTGTGCTTTGTTCAATTCAATTCAATTCAATTCAATTCAAGTTTATTATCTATAAGGGTTACAATATGGGGTTTACAGGTTTTGGGTATTGTGTGGTTTACATGTTATAAAATACTAATTACAGAGGGGGCCACTAGGACACCTAGCATGGCTAGGCATTTCGGGCAGACTTAGATTAATTCTTAACATTAAATTCTTTTTTTTTTTTTCAGATTCGCCGGAATTCTCCCGGCCCGGGCTTTTTCCAAGTGGTGGCCTGGCCTTGTCTCCCTCTTTAGGGGGTGTCTGAGACCGAAGTCTCCCATGGGAGGAGGCACAAGTACCCCCTCATCTTTGGGACCAATTGTCCCTTCTCTGGTCTGCCATCCCCACCCCAAGGGAGATAATGGGAATGACAGTCTTGTGAGCTGTAAGCTCGGGCTCAGGCACCTACCCTACCCTTGAAGGGTTAGGCATGGTGTCGATGATTAAATGCTTGCAGATTATGGTATTAAGGCTAAGTGACTACATCATAATTTGTGAGTTTCGCAATGTGAATGCTTTTGTTTTGGCACAATACAAAGTGTCTATATTGGAGTATCATAGGCAAACTTATGACTAGTTAGGATTTATTATTTTAAGATTAAGATTAGTATTTCTGGGTTTATAGTCAGTGGGTGAGTGAGTGTAATTGTGAACCACCAGGTGGTTATCATGTAGTTAGTTGTCGGGGTGGATCAGGGAGATAAAATGTTTTCAAACTGTAGTTTTGAAAGTGATGAATGTGTCTGCAGTTCTAGAGTTTTCAGGTAGGGTGTTCCAGATTTTAGGTCCTTTGAAATACATTGAATTTTTGTAAAGGTTTAGTCGAACACGGGGAATGTCATAGAGATGTTTGTGTCTGGTGTTATGCCTGTGGATCCTGTCACAACTATCAAGAAAGCATTTTAGGTCAAGGTTAATATTGGAATTTAAGGTCATGTAGATATAGATTGCACAGTAGTAAGTGTGGATGTACTGAACAGGGAGTAAGTTTAGATCTATGAAGAGTGGGGGGGGTGTTGCCAGGGATGGGATTTAGTGATTATTCTTACTGCGGCTTTTTGTTGGGTTATTATTGGCTTTAGGTGTGTTGCTGCAGTTGAACCCCAAGCACAGATAGCATAGGTGAGGTATGGATATATAAGTGAATGGTATAGTGTGAGAAGGGCAGTTTGCGGCACGAAGTATCATATCTTGGAGACGATCCCTGCCGTTTTGGATACTTTTTTTTTGTTGTGTTGGATATGGGTGCTGAAATTTAGGTTGTTGTCGAGGTATAGGCCAAGGAATTTGCCCTCATTATGTCTGGCAATTAGAGTGTTGTTGATCTTAATGTTAAGTTGCGCAACACCTGCTCTTTCACCGTAGCCGCCTCAGACTTTACTCTGTTGACTACTACTCTTTATGTTCTGTTTGTTATGAAATTATAGATCCATCTACCGACTTTTCCTGTTATCCCTTTATCACGCATTCTGTGCACTATTACACCATGATCACACTTGTCAAAGGCTTTTGCAAAGTCTGTGTATATTACATCTGCATTCTGTTTGGCTTCTAGAGCATCCAGGACCTTGCCATAGTGGTCCAGTTGTTGGTACAGACAGGAGTGACCTGCTCTATTTATTTTATTTATTTATTTTCATTTGGACATGATACATAGTTGTACAAAGAAATGTAGTGATTTTGGTGTACATGCCAAAAGCCCCTTGTATGCAAAGCATTATGGGCAGGCTTAAAAGTAACTTATGATTAACTAAGCAATGATATAGTCAGTGGTAAAAATTTTAGTAAACAAATTACAACATGAAGCACAAATGAGTATTTCAAATAAGAAGCATTATAGTAAAAAATTTGTAGCATAATGTATAATATAATCATATCAAATCGAATAAAATCAATGATTTGTAGTGCAGAAACAGGTCATATGGTCCTTAGATGAGTTACTGTGTATTCAAGAGAATGGAGTATTCTATTAGGTAATGTAATTAAAAAAAAACAGTGT